TACGCAAAAAAGTAAAATTAACTTATTTCCATTGCAGTCCCAACTGATGAGGAAATTAACCTGAACAAGCACAGTAAAATAGATAAAAAACTATCCAAATATTTTTATATCAAAACTGCAAAAATCACGTCGCAAAAGCAAAAGGGCACATTCAAGCAGAAAATGGTCGTCAATATTAAATGCTCTCCCTGACAGCTTCTCTTAAATGAACCCGAATCAATATGGGCAAGTCCCCGGACCACGTCTATCCGGTTCGTGAGTAACTTGGTCACATACACGCGGATGCGCCACGATTTGCAGACTCCCATTGGACGATGGTTGAAGTTGCGCGTATGCGTGTAACTCCATGCGCACGCAGTGCATGTGCAGTGGACCTAAATAAAACTGAGGCGACATCCCACTTGATACACCTGCCCACATGTCCCAACTCTTTCACAGTATGAGGTGAAAGACACGCCATTTTTTGCCTGGGGGGGTTCTCTCGTTTCCTTTACTGGCATAGAATGACGGTGATCCAGGAAAATCGTAAGGAAAAAAACCAAGGGGAGCGGAGATTCAGCTTGTTTCATTAAATAGGACCTGGTGGTCTATGCGTTTATGCTTGCACCAGTACTACGCCAACTAGGCGTCCATAGAAAACAGTGCAAAATCAGACCGATGGCGCGCCTGTTGACTCTCTGGAAGAGGTTGGCCTCCGTTTTTTCACTGGAAATTCAAGATTGTGGCCAGAAGATCACTTTTCCTTTCAATGTGATGGGGTTAGCCGACCCGAATTTTTTTATTCGCCTTTCCCCGAAGATACTCCCAAAATAGTAGCAAAACTCTACGCTCAGCTCCGAAAGTAGCCGCCCACCTCTATCCAAAATAGGCCCGCGATTTTGGGGCTTTTTGTACAAGAAATACCCTGACCTGGAAACTCCTAGTCCAAAATTTGGGGTTTATAGAAATATTTCTATGAACCCTGTTGATTATGGCATGTCTTATTGTAAAAACCCCGAGGGATCACAATTATTAATGAGCTCGCGCGCGCGTGCAGAAATCCAACCATTTGGTGAAATGCATACTATTAGGGTACAGTCCACTAATTCAAGTCCCATTGGAAACAGTGTAAAATCAGCGCTGTTCAGGGCCCAATGCACGCCAACATCCCTG